TGTATTTTGTGGTTTTGCTTCCTGCTCAGAAAACCGCAGAGCTCCAAAGTGCAAGATGATTGATAGGGAAGTTAAGATGCTACTGCCGCTTGTCTGCTCAGCCTGAATATCCACGTGCAGCCTCCCAGGAGCAAGTCCCTGTTCTATTCTGCCTCACTAGGATGGCAATAATAAAAAGGACAATAATAAATGTTGTTGAGAATTTGGAGAAATTGCTGGTGGGATCTAAAATTGTTATACTTTAGAAAACATTTTGGTATTTCTTCAAAAAGTTAAACAGATTTACCATAGAACCCAGCAATTCCACTCCTAGGTATATATCCAAGAGAATTAAAAATGTATGTCTACACAAAAACTTGTCCATGAATGTTCATAGCAGCATTATTCACAATCACCAAAAAGTGGGAATAATACAAAGGCCCATAAACCGATGAATGGATAAACAAAATTTGATATATCTATACAATGTAATATTATTAGTCAGTAAAAGGAATGAAGTTCTGATACAGGCTACAACATGGATGTACCATGAAAACATGCTAAGTGAAATAATCCAGTCACAAAAGTGCACATAATATATGATTCCATTTATGAAATGTCTAGCATAGGCATGTCCATGGAGGCAGAAAGTAGATTAGTATTTGCTTAGGGCCAGGAGAAGAAGGGAAAATGGGGACTGACTGCTACTGAGTTTTCTTTTAGAGGAGGTGAAGATGTTCTAAAATTAGATTATGGTGAATATACTAAAAAACATTGAATTGTACACTTTAAATGGGTGGCATATGGTATATCTCAATAAAGCTATGAAAAAAATAAAGCTAACCTAAAATTAGTGAGTGGGAGTCTAGATAAAACATTAATGGCTATGACTTGATAATTGTTGAAGCTGGTTAATGGGTACGTGGAGGTTCTTTATACTATTTAAACTCTACTTTCGTGTTTGTTTGGAAATTTCTGTATTAAAAAAGTTTTGAAAAACTGAAAATAAATCATGTCTAATGGTAAAATATTAGAAGCATTCCCAGTAAAATCAGGGAGAAGGCACTATCAGCACTATTATTTAACATTTTTTTTTTCCTAAATCTATCAAAAAAGCAGTGCTCCATAGGAAATTAGAAAAAAATTGCTTTATTCTTTCCAATAAGTTCTATTAAGCTTCTTTTGAAGGCCAGCTGATTTCCTGCCCCTGAATGAGTTTTCAGTCAGTGTTGGATAATAAAAAGTCTTCTGGTTTCTTTCAGTTACAAAATCAATTTTATTTTAGTAATTACAGTGTCCATTTCACTCCACTAATCAATACCGTAAACTTTTTTTAAAGTTAAAAATTCTATCTCCTTGAGCTTGAAGCCTGCAGTAGGAAGCTGTGATGATTGCTTTTCTATTTCCCTTCCTTGAACTTCTCCTTCCCCCTAGGTATTCTTGACCCCCTCTAGGTATTCTTGACACAAGGGAACACAGAAGGGAAGAGAGTAAATCAGGAAAAATCTTAATTGTATTGAAGCTGGTTCTCTCTTGTATTGGTCATATTCACATTTTGACTCTTTGTGAGGTGGGGCTCTACTCAAGCTGGTTGCCTACAATTCCTGTATTCAGCATTTGGACATCAGTCCTCTACCCCTTCTCTAGAGTTCATAGTCCCCTACTAGAAATCCTCTTGGTAGGCTTGGAACAAATCCAGGCCAAAGACAGTGCCTACTGTGGGATACATATCTAGTCCCAGGAGGGAATTAGGCCCGAATCTTCTCAATTCTAGGGGCAGAAGAAAAGTTTTCCTAAGAATTCTCACCACATTTCACTTGGAACGCTGGTGGCGCTGGGATCCTCTCTTTTACTTATGAGGTGGGAATACGAAGTACACCAGTGCTTTCCAAAAATAGGCCTTTCTCTCAGAAATAGCTTTCTCCTGTAGACTGTCCAATCTCTGAAATAGCTTTGGAATAGTTACAGAATTGAACCAAGGGCACAAAATCACTTTCTAGCCTGCTCCTTTTCAAGTCCTGCGTAAGATGGCCAAGGTTCTCATTGTGAAATGCAGGGTATTGTGGTCCCTATTGTCTTGTTCTCCTTCTCTTGGACTTCTCCTAAAGTGAGAGTGAGGGAGATATATTTTAACATTTTGTTCTAAACTGAAAACTAGTGCAAATAATAAGAGAATTAAAGAAGGTACAAAGTCAATATCCAGAAATCAATAGAACATTGTATATTTAAAAAAATAATACATGGAAGACACATTGGAAAAGACTCCATTTAATAATAGCCACACACACACAAATAGTATAACATCCCTAGGAATAATGTGAATAAGTAATGTGCATGATGTATGTGAAGAAAACTTTATAATGTTCTTGAAGGAAACAAATATTGACTTTAATAAATAGAAAGTCATCTGTGTTCTAGGAAAGCAAGACTCAACCCCATAAAAATGCCAGAACTCTTTAAGTTAATCTGCTCTTTTTATGCAGTCCTAAGAAAAACACCAGTATGATTTTTAAACTGATCTTAGCTCATATAGAAAAGTAAGTTAGAATACCAGGAAACTTCTGAAAAAGATGAGTAATGAGAGGTCTTTTTTTTTTTTTTTTTTTTTTTTTTTTTTTT